TAGTTACTATTTCACGGTCCGTATGACATTATCCCTTTTCTATTTTCTTAGAAAACGCATAAAATATTTCTATTAAAATACAGATAACTAACTTTACTTCGCATTTCTTGCATTTAATTTTTTTTAACAGTTTCTATTACATTAAAAAATTCTTATGAGACAATAAATTTGTTGAAGTATTTCATACTTCATGATAGATCATTCTTTAAATACCTACATATTTTAAATTATATCTCATACATTAATATTACAGAAAAAAGAAATATTCTGATTTTTTCCCTAAGAATTTAAAATATGAAATACAATCAAGCACAAAAATAACTTCAAAAATCCCGATTATATACTGATACCATTTAGTTTTAGAAATATGTACAACATTTAAAAAGTATCATAGAAATAAATGTAGAAATTTTAAAAATTAGTGCAAAAAAAAAATAAATAAATAAATAAATAAAATAAATAAAAAGTGCAAAATGAAAAAGTTTTTTAAAATTTTTTTACTAAGTAAAAATAAGTAGTATGCTTCTTCAATACATAAAATAAAACCTTACGTATCCCTCTAGATTAAAAAGCAAACAATTTAGAACCCTAGAATGATGACGAAAAAATTTCATTAAATTTCTCATGATATTCTAAAATAAAACGATCTTTCTATTAAGCTAAATATTCTTTTTTGGACTTTCTTCGTATTTCTTTTCCTTTTGAAAGCTTATTTTACAGTTTTTTAAAAGACATATAAAAGACAACTTAATTTTTTCGCGTCATAATATCCTATAATATCTTCGGAGATCTTATCTGAAACTAAAAAAGAAAAAGAAATTATTGCTTCTTAATAGGTACTTTAATTTTTTTCTTTTACGAAGTAATTAAACAATGGATTGTTTAATTGGATAATAACCAAAAGGTTTAATCATTAGTTAATTGTAAGATTTTTTTTAACTCTTAGAAATATTTAATAATATGAGAGTCTATTTTTTCAATTTTAAATGATTAAATTTAAATTTAAAAAGAAAAAAATATCTAATAAGGGGGAAAAAGAAAAACATAATTTTATTTTCTTTCCCCCTTTGGGGGAAATAATAAACCCTCAATGATTATGTTGAATTTAGTTTTGGATATAGATTAGATTGTTAGTTTCTGAGCTTATAATTGGTTTATGTACAAGAAGAGCTACTAATAGTCCTAATAGCATTAAATAACTTGTGAGATTGTTAACATTTTTTCAAGTTTTTCATGGTTTCATGATAGAATTAGGAACATTATATTAAAACAAGTAATATAAATAAAAATTAACGTCAATTCCTGCTTCTTTGAAAAAACGTATTCATTTGTTGTAGCTATTTAAATTTTTCCCCTATGGGAAATAACCCCAGAAAAAATTAAAAAATTAAAAAAATTAAAATTAATTAATATTTGAAAAACTGTATTCATAAATGTCATCCCTACAAGTTTAAAAGAACTTTTTGAACTTGAATGGATGAATAAAAAATTTTATTAACGATTAAAAGGGTTTTTAAAAAAGGAAATATATATATATGGGGAAGGTGAACAAATTGTAAGAGGGGAGTTGAATGTTTTAGAATAAGAAATATGCATACTGTAATTTCATGAACTGTATCAACTAAAACTGCTAATTTTTAAATATAAAAAAAGCTGTAATAAAACTTTTAAAACTTTTTGGTTGATATTAGCAAATATTTCCCGGAGAAATTGCGATGCCAAAATAGTGACACAGGCCACTATATCAGAACGTTATAAAACTTTAAGAGTAATTAATATGATTGGACTTCGTGAAGAATTTTTTTATCTTGCAATAGCACTTCAGAAAAACACAATCCCAGTGATGAGACTCAAAAGGGTAGGAGCAGCGGCAACCCCGGCAGTGTTTGGGGAAAAATTTATATCAATATAGGAAAAGTAGCATCTCTTTTCAAAAGCTTAAATTTCCCAGTTGGCGAATGGTTAAAAACTGAAAGGGGGATTGGCATTAGTTGTCCCAAGACTTCTAGTGCATATGGGCTATTTTATTTCATTTTTTAAAACGGTTGGGGTTGTTTTTTTAAAAATTTTTACTGAAATAGTACTGAAAATTTTGAATGCAAGGCGATTAAAAAACATAAGGTAAATTTGTAGTTGGAAAAACACAGGATAAAGGACCAAAAAATATAAGATTAAAAAAATAATTCTGTATAAAATCAATATATTGTAAATTAAGTGCATTGAAAATAAATAATATATGTTTTTAATTGTATTTTTATCACATATGTACTTGTAAAATTCCAGTGTACCTTTGTAATTTACCTTCCAAATTTCCTTAGATTAAATAGTTAGATTCTAATAGAGCATATTCTTAATAGAGCATTATTTTTGTTTTTAAGAAATATATTTTTTTTAAAAATCATTTATGGAATCATTTATTTATCTTCTAATATTTATGAACAGATTCCAACTATTCTCCGTTATCTCTTCTCAACTATTGATAAGTAAAAAAGCGGGAAAGGGTTTTTATATAAAATCTACAAAGAAATTTTTAATTTTTTTTTCTCTATATTAAAAAAAATATAGATAAATAA